GTCAATATAACGTCTTGTAAACAATGTAACGTCACATTTACCTCAGAAAAACATATTTGGTGACCATAAACTCATTAGTCAGCTAGTTTTGCTAAATATATGCACCATATAACATATTCATTATAAATTTTACTGTTCTTCAATGTTTAATTTATGTTTGAATAAATCCATCAAGTTTTTATGACAGCCACCATTATGTTTATATTTAAAAAAAACGAATTGAAGTAGAAATGTTATTATGTAATTGTAACTTTATTAGTGTAATTTTAACAAATCAGTCAATTTTAACCTTCAGTATTATAGTAATGTAGTACCAACTGACTCTCATGTATATTTTACATGATTAGTTGAGAGAAAATTCGGCATGTACTGTACCTGATATATATCCAAAATAATCGATATTGAATCGAATCGAATCGAATTGGTAATCGAATCGCAAGCTTGTGAATGAGAATCAAATCGAATTCTGAAATTTGTGTCAAAACCCAGCCCTAATGCTTTGTTTGGGGTCTCCTAGGCGTCCTTTGGTTTGGTTGTGGAGTTCATTTCTATGTTGTCTGTGTGTTATGGTTCTGTTGGGCTCCGTTGTTTGTTATGGTGGTGAAGGGTTGAAGACTTTAGATGTTTGCTGTTGGATTAATGGATCATGTTTTGTTTCGTCTCTTGTAGAAGATGATCATACTGGGTGTGATTGGTGCTGTGGTGCTCATCATCATCCTCATCGTCATCCTCACACAGGTTCTATGAAAACCTCTGTGGCTGCTCACAAACTCTCCATTATTACAGATGATCATTTCCTCCACTCCTTTTCATCCTCCCTGTTTTTCCTTGGAAGTACGTCAAGACAAATGCTCCGCCCCCTGCACCTGTGGCCCCTCCCTTCATCAGCACAAACCAATGGGAAACTACTCTGCTGGAACCCGAGTGATGGTCAAGGAAACAGACTGTGTTTTTTTTGTTGTAAGGACGTGATGGGAAATGTTTAAGGAACTTCTACTACATGCAAGGAATGGCGTTTGAAGGAAGCACATTTTAAATACATGGACAAATCCATGAGCACAAAATAAGGGACTTTTATGAGATTCACAAGGGGAAGTTAACCTCCATTTTACGCCTTAATGTTTTTATTGTATTGTGTGTTCATAAGACACATCAATGTCTACATCTACTGGATGAGCTGCTGTTCTTGATCAAAAGGGCTCAGAGACACAGATGTGATTTCAGCTTCTATTTTGGATCCCTGTGAAATGAACACAATAAGCTAAGCATTGATGGGTCGTCCAGAACGGAAGAAGCCCACACGAGTAGATTTTTATTGTGATGAACGTCTGTATGGGAATTAACCTAAGGAATAAATTACATTATATATTTTCTAAGTATTTTGTACATTTTTGAGAAATGAATTGATGGATTCAAAGGGATCATTGTCAGAAAACTGTCATTTGTTTATATGTTAATAAATTATATATTAATTAATATTTAATAATCAACCGATAGGGTTTCAATAGTTATAATAAGTTTATATGTGAGTATGGGTTCAATAGTTACACTATTACTTAAACTATTACTCCTAATCATGCGGTTTCAGGCCTGCAAAAAAATTATCCAACAATACTTTTTTCATGAATCATGTTATTAGGAAGCACAGGAAAACTTCTTGTTTGGTTTGTATTATGAATGTGCTCCACACCTGATGGTAAGTAAATGCTCGCTTTCTTAAACACACAAACACACACAGGCCTTAAATCTAAACCTTTCCTTTGTTTTACTCCTCTTTCTCCCTTCTGTCATTTTAAAAGAATTGTGCATGGTTTTTCATGAGCAACATTTTAAAAGACGTGGTCTGCTGTGAGAACTTTTCCCCTTTCCCATGTGCATTTTCTAACTTTCTCCTGTTCTCATTTGTCTTTACTGTCTCATACATATCCATCTTTCTCTCTGTAGAAGAAATTGATGATCATGCTTTGCTGTGTGATTCTGGGGATTGTTGTCTTTTCTTACCTTTACAGCTTCTTTTCTTAATGGTAAGAATTCTAATTAATATATAGTATACACATATATAAGGGAGACTGGGGCAAGTTGTCACAAGTAACTGTATAAACTATATATAAATGTGTTTTTTCTCCAGCAGTCTGTGTATTTTAATTGCAGTTTTATGATGATTTTGAATATACTGCCCTCCAAACTAAGATTCCATGGAATGAGACTGTGTTCATCATATAAACCTTTGGGTTAACAAACACATTAAAACCACACTGACATGCATTCACAACTATTTAACGAAGGTGAATTGTGTTCTCTGGACAAGAGTATTGTGTGCTTCACATTTTGGGCAAGTACTCTTCATATACTACCAAGAAGTCTCTTGTGCTCATTAACAATGGTTCTTATTATCCGTGGAAACTTTCCATTCCACAAAAATTTCTTTATAGTGGATTATTTTAAAATGTTCATCAACCTAAGAGCAACATGGTTCTTTTAAGAACTGTTCACTGGGGAACCCCAAAGAGTTTTTCTATGGTATCACAGTACAAATTGTGAAATATTATCATTTAAAATCAGTTTTAATATATATTAAAATGTAATCTATTCCTGTGATGCAGTGCTTAATTTTCAGCATCAGTCTTCAGTGTCACATGATCCTTCAGAAATCATACTAATATGATGATTTGCTCCTCAAGAAACATTTCTGATTATTGAAAACAGTTGTGCTGCTTTGTTTAAAAAAAAAAAAGGCATTTATTTGAAATAAATATTCTGTCACTTTTGAACAATTTAATGTCTTTGCTGAATAGAAGCAAAAAAAATAAAATAAATCTTACTGACCCCTTAAAGGGATAGTTCACCCAAAAATGAAAATTCTGTCATTAATTACTCACCCTCATGTCGTTTCAAACCCGTAAGACCTTCGTTCATCTTCGGAACACAAATTAAGATATTTTTGATGGAATCTGAGAGCTGTCTGACCCTCCATAGACAGCAACACAACTGAAATGTTCCCAAGTCCAGAAACGTAGCAAGGAGATCTGTAAAATAATCCATGTGACATCAGTGGTTCATCCGCAATTATACCAATTATACGCATTTATACGCATCACCCTGGTGCCATTTTGGAGAATATCCGCTGGACGTAAACAGCATATGCTATTCTGTGTCAGCTGCGTCACGCGGATATGTTGTTTTCATTCAAATCAAAGCGTAAACAACTTAAGGTCCCCTGAAATGCTTAGAAACATGCAGCGTTACTGTAAGTGTTGACGTCATTTTAACTGAAACAGGAAAACAGGGCGGGACATATCAAGCAGCCCCGCCCCTTTTTAAAATAGCCAATAGCGTTCGTTTATATCACAGCTTGGGCTAGAGCCGTTCAGAGCCGTTGAGCTCCGTAAAGCCACATTTGACAGGGTTTGCCAGCCACAATCTCATCTATATTGCTATAAAATATAGCATTCTGTGTAGAATTCAAAAAGCTCCGATACATTTTGTGGTCTG